CGAGCTGAAGAGGACCACCCCCGAGCTGCTGAGCCGGGCGTCGGCCTGCTACGAGGAGGGTCTCCGGGATCGCCGGGGAAGGATGTCCACCGTGCCCAGCAGGTGTCCACGCTGGGGGACCTCGTGGATGACGAGGCTGGCGTGCGGCGGCCGCCGCTGGGCTACGTCACGGAGCTCACGAGCCTGACGCTGCGGTTCCTGGCGAAGAGGCGCCCGAGCAGGCGCCTGGCGCAGATCCTGCTGGGGCGCTGGGTTCGCGTGCAGTGCTACCGGAGGCCGCTCGCCGCCGCCTTCGTGAATGCTTGGAAGTGGCTGGCGTCGGGCCGCTCGGGCGGGCTCGTCGCTCTGGGCGTCGCCGAGGACCTGCTGATCGCGGCCGCGCTCGCACCGCTCACCGTGGCGGACATGCGGCTGACCGTCGACCACCTCGCGACGGCGTCCGACGCCTCGGAGGCCGCGGGGGCGATCGTCTACTCCCAAGGGCTGTCGGACATGGGTCGTGTCCTCGGGGCCAGAGGCCCGCGGGCTCTCAACCCCGCCTGTGAGGAGGGCGTCGCGCTGATCTCCGTCTTCTCAGGGATCGACGGGGCGCGCCGGGCCTCCGAGATCCTGGGCCTGGTTCCCGCGGCGCACCTGTCGTTCGAGGTTGACGCCGAGGCTGCGCGGGCGGCTCGGCGGGCGTGCCCCAGCACCGTGCACCTGGGAGACGTCACGGCTGCAGATCCTGCGAATCTGGCACGCCTCCTGCGGGGCCACGGCCGCGTCGCGAAGGTGATCGTGCTCGGGGGCTTCCCGTGCCAGGGCCTCGCGGTGTTGAACGTGGCCCGCGAGGGGGGCGCGGGCCCGAGGTCGCAGCTGGTGGGCCACATGTGGAGGCTCATCGAGGGGCTGAGGCGCGAGCTGCCCGAGGCCACGGTGGACTTCCTCGGGGAGAACGCGGCGTCCATGGCGGAGGGCGAGGTCCTGGCCTTGAACAAGATGTTCGGCCGAGCGCGGGTGTCCCTCGACGCCGCGGACCTGGGCTGGGTCCGCCGCCCGCGGCTGTACTGGCTGTCGTGGGACCTGCTGCCCTCCTTCGAGATGTCGGCCGAGATGAAGGCGGCGGCGGATGGCGCCCAGCCGCGGGCCTGCCGAGTGCGCCTGGTGACAGAGCTGCCGCCCGTCTCGGAGTGGCTGCCGCGCGGGGCCACCTGGCCCGGGGCCGCCGAGGACGGCCGCCTGCTGACCTTCGCGCGCTGGACGCCGCGGAGCTCGCCTCGGCCGCGGCCCGCGCGGCTTCGCCAGTGCACGCCGAAGGAGGTGGCGCGCTGGACGGCAGCGGGCTACGCAGCCCCGCCCTATCAGTTTCGGGGCTGCTTCTGCCTGCATTGGGCGGACGGGTGGAAGGAGCCGCCGCGGGCAGTGGAGCGCGAGGTGCTGATGGGTTCAGGCGGGGCCACACCGTGCCCTGCATGAGCAGCTCCGCCGCCAAGAGCGACCCCGAGCGCTTCGAGGCCTTGCGGCGGTCGCTCGTGGGCAACTCGTTCCAGTGCGAGGTCGTGGCCTGGCTGCTGAGCCACGGGGCGGTGCACCACTCGCTGCTGGCGGCGGTGCCATCCCTGCGGTGCCTCCATGAGAGCTCGAGGAGCTGGTCGATGGGCCGCAAGCTCTGGGCCGGCGACGTGGAGACGCTGCGGTGTGGGCGCGAGGCCGTGTGCGAGGAGAACCTGCGCCTGCTGGAGGAGGCTGGCCGCGTGCCCGCGGCTGACGCTGGGCAGGTGACGCGCGCCGTCTACGTCGGCCGCGGGTCGCGCCGCTGGGGGCTCGCCCCCTCCAAGTGGGGGAGCCCGTACCCCGTGGTGCCAGGGCGGCCAGCCGGCGACGTTGTGGCGCTGTTCGCGGGCTGGTTGCGCTCCCAGCCCAGGCTCCTGGACCAGCTGGGAGAGCTGGAGGGGGCTCGGCTGCTCTGCCACTGCCCCTCGGGCCAGGCCTGCCACGCGGACGTCCTACTGGCGGAGCTGGAGCAGCGCGGCAAGGGGTGCTCGCGGCCCTTCCTGGAGCACCAGAGGGCGGTGGCCTCGCTGGTGATGACGTGCCACCACTCGGGCGCCGACCTTCGAGTTGATACCGATGCAGAGACGTATGGCAAGATGTTCCCACGGCAAGAGATCGATGCTGGCATTTGGAAGTGGAAGGTCGCACGCCAGCTCGTTTGGCAGGACCCAGCCAAGCACATCAATGTGTTAGAGTGCGAGGCTGCGCTGATGGCCCTGCGTTGGCGGGCCCGCTCAGTCTCACGACAGATGCGCGTCTTCCTTCACCTGCTCGACAGCATGGTGAATATCGGTGCTCTTGCCAAGCGCCGGTCTTCCAGCCAGCAGCTCAACAAAGTAGTGCGCGCCTTTTCCATCCTTGAGCTGGCGCTCAGATCGCGGGCTGTCTTTGCCTTCACCTCATCGGCAAAGAACCCTGCGGATGCGCCATCCCGCTTGCCCAATGGGTAGGCGCACTTCGCCAGAGGAGAGGCGTGCTACCCGAGCTGCTCTTGGCCGTCTGGCCGACGCGCGCGTGAACACTAGAACACGCAACAAGTACCAGCGCGCACGCCGGCAGTTTGTCGAGTTTTTGAGTGCTATGCATCTCTCTTTGCCAGTCAGGTGGGGCGAAGTGGATCTCTGCCTTTAAGACTATATTGAGCATCTCTGGAGCATCGGAGCCTCGAAGGGGCAGGTAAACGACACTTTGTCAGGAGTGCAACATTTTCTGCGCTCGCGCCGCCAGTATCCTGGGGCTTGGCGCTTCCTCTCGGTGTGGTCACGTCTCGAGGTGCCGAGCCGAGCGCCTCCGATGCCTGCTCGAGTCGCCGCCGCAATGGCCGGCTGGGCGCTCGAGCACAATGAGTTCGCCCTGGATGCCTGCATTCTTGGAGGCTTCCACCTGTACCTGAGAACAGGTGAGATCCTAGGGTTGAACCGGGCCCTGGTCCAGATCGGCCCCCAGGGCCGCGGGGTCGCGAGTCTCCCCTGGACCAAAACAGCTGCCCAGAAAGGCGCCCGGGAGACCGTCGCGATCGACGATCCCTACATGGGGGCCTGGGTGCACCGCGCACTGCTGCTGGACCCTGCCGGTAAACTTTGGAGCGGCACGCTCCCGTCTTTTCGCGCCGTTTTTAAGCGTGCTGCTGCAGGCGCGGGCTGTCGCCACGCTCGCCTCACTCCGCGCAGCCTTCGTCGAGGCGGGGCCACGCGCGAATATCTATCGTCAAAGAATCTTGAGCGCGTCATGTTGCGTGGGCGATGGAGCTCCATCAGGACAGCCAATATATATCTATATATATATATATATCGAAGACGGGGCCGCCATCCTTGCCGAGATGCAGTTCAGAGGCGAAACTCAGAGGTGGAACAGTCACTACTCGTCCTCTTTTGTCTCTCGGACCAGAGAGGAATTCGGCTGAATAGCCAGGGTGGGGCGGGTGGAAAGGATCGAGCGGCCTCGACTCCCTCAGATCGCAGCCCGGAACGCCGCTGTGCCGACCATTCTTGGGTCGACCGTCTGGGTCCCTGGCCGAGCGCGATGAGGCGCGGAGAGTGGAGTCGAGGCCCCCTCAGATCCAAGTCAAAGTGCGATGGCCATGTGGAAAAAGGATGGGGCCCTCTGGAGGCCCCCCTGTCCAGTGTGCTTCCGCAACCCCGCCTCACCCCAACCGCGCTTATATAAACGCTTGCGGTAGATAAGTCGGGGGTGGGAGATCAGGGGTGCGGAGAAGGCATGGCCGTAAAGAGATTGCATGGCAGTCGCTGTTGCCCGCCCGCTACCACCCTTGGCGACTGTTTCAACCTTGCGGCCTCGACTCCCTCAGATCGCAGCCCGGAACGCCGTTGTGCCGACCATTCTTGGGTCGTCCGTCAGGGTCCCTGGCCGAGCGCGATGAGGCGCGGAGAGTGGAGTCGAGGCCCCCTCAGATCCAAGTCAAAGTGATATGGCCATGTGGAAAAATGATGGGGCCCTCTGGAGGCCCCCCTGTCCTGTGTGCTTCCGCAACCCCGCCTCCCCCCAACCGCACTCATATATATATATATATATATATGTATATGTAGAAGTACATATATATATATATATATGTATATATATATATGTACACATAATATTTCAAGACAGTAGAACGTATTGCCAAGGGGTGGGGAACCTCATTGCCGTTTGGGTCTGGGCCAAGGAGGACACGGGCTAACAGTATAACCAATATCACGAGGTATGGCAGGACTGGAAGCTTCCTTGGACGAGTCTGAGCCAAGACGCGAGGGGGCGCAGCGAAGGCGAGCAATGAGGACGTTGTCTTTGCGCAGAGCGCTCCTACCTTACAGCTCTGCTCTCCTTCACCGTCTCTGCCTTCTCGGCTGCTTAGTTCGTGGTTGTTGCTTCTCCTCACCAGGGCCGAGCATCTGGACCTTGGGTAAGATCATTTGCTTGCTTTTGCCCCGTACCGCTGATACTAACGTCCCCTGCCAGTTCCATCCGCCTTTCGTGGCGAGGCGCGCCTCTCCAGGGACATGCGAGGCTGATGGATGAGTCGTCTGAGGGCCCAACAGCTCATGAGTTCTCTATCCGAGTAGGTGGGGTGCACAGGTCAACTTCGAGGAACAAACCATGACATAGACATACAACTTCCGAAGGTCCGCGCTGATCTCTTGGTTCGGCTCTGCCCCCCCCCCCCCCCCGGGCAGCGCCTCCGGCGCCACCGCTGTCGCGCTCCGTGCGCCAGGGATGGGCGGTCCGGCGTAGACACAAGAAATCCGCGCGGACATCCGACAATTAATGCTTCCTTGGATTGCTGTCTACTTTGTATACTTCTCTTCGTCATTGTTTGGTTTGCTCTCATCGCCGCAGGGGGCCGTGTGTTCAACGATGTGTCGCAGGCCACCTCAGCGGGACGACAGTTGGACGTGAGCGGCAGAGACAGCCGAGCGTTGCACCAGCAGTTGCAGCGTGTTGAGCGTATGTGTTTGCACTTGCTGCAAGAGGCCAAAGACAAGACCTGCACCAGTACTATCCCGAAAGGGTCGTCCGGGTTCTGCGACTGCGACGGTGACGGCGTCAAGGCCGCCCCTGGTTGCCTGCTGGACTCTGCGTATGCCGGGTCTTGTTTTTCCTCGCCTGTCGCACTTCGCTTCGACCTCTTCCCACCCTCGTTCTTCTCTCATGGCCTTGTTTACGTTGTCTGGCTTTTGTCCCGCATTAGGCTACTCTTTCAAGGCCGCTTCCGGCGATTCACTGCCGCCGTCGGTGTCCGCCCGCCCGACCCGCCCGTTAGAGCCCACGAGCCCGACCCGCACTTTGGGATCTGCCCGCCTGGCCCGCCCGTCGGGGTCCACCCAGCCGAACCCGACCCGCGCGCTCTGATGTCCCGTCCACCCGACTCGCCCCGTGGGGTCCGCCCGTTCGCGTGCCCGCACGCCCGACCATCCCACCACGGTCCGGCCGCTTGACCCGCTTGTCTCACACTGTGCGGCTTGATCCAGGATGAGAAGAAGAGCCCCCCACCAACGTGGGCACAGCAAAAGGGCGGGAACCGAGGGCCTGGGTAACCGTATACTTCATGTTGCTGCGTAGGCAACATTACTACAATCACTTCTGTTGCTTGTGACGATGCCACATTTGATTTCAGGTCAGAAGCATGGCTCGTGAACTGCAAGACGCTTCTGATCCGTCTGAGGCCCGAAAAGACTGGGACTGCACTATCTTGCGCTCGCTTGGGTTGCGGGAGCCTTCCTCCAGAAGAAAAGGGACAGGAGGAAGAGGAGGAAAGGGGAACGAGGAGGAATCCGAGTTTTCCCCTCCCTCTCCCATCCCTTCATTTCTCTTAGTGCTAAGGCTCTCAGCCGAGAAGGAGTCCAACGGGCCGCACCAGAGTCCACTTCGGTCGTACTCATTAACACTCTACGGGCCGGGTTCCCATCCATCGGGCTGTATTTGCCTTCCCCTTCGTCCCTCGCCCTTCTCCCCTCACGCTCGCCATTCCCCACCCGCTCAGCTGCCCTCCTGCTGCCCCTCCCCCTCCTACCCCTCCTACCCCTTACCCAGACATGCGACGTCCAGACAGTCGACATGCGAAGTCCCGACCCTTTCCCCGGGTTCGGTTGTTTCATTCTGAGTCGTGTTGACGGTCCCAGGTCCCAGTAATGGCTTCTGGAGGCCCAAAACGGTCAAAAACCTCCCGTCCTGTTTTTTCAGGACATGAGCATGTTTGCGTACAGTCGTCTGCAGCCGCTATGGCTCAAGCGCCAGCGCGCCGCGGCGCTCGCCCGCCCCGGTGCGCCGCGGGGCCATGGCGCCGAGCTTGGGCGGCCTGCTGCACGAGGCGGCGCCGCCCCCCCCCGGTCCCGGCGGGCCGTGGACCGCCGCCCGAGGCGGCCTCGCCGGGAGTCAGTATCGTTTCACCAGTCCCGGTTCCCATCGCCATCCCCATCCCGAGCCCCACCATGCCACCGCCCCAGTTGGGGAGGTATGCCCCTCGAACCCCGAAGGGAGCAGCCCATATCCCCATCCAAGGGGGGCAACTTGGCCAGTGGGGCCCAGGACCAGGACACACCCGTGGGGATGGGGATCGGTGAAACGGTGCTCAGGGAGGGCGCGGGCCTGCGGTGTCAGCACCAGCTTCGTGTGGAAGGACTGCAAGAAGGGCTGCCCGATCGCCAAGGAATCGGGTAGACTTGAATCGACTACATGATAGATTTACCCCCGAATTGATGTTCCGTCGAATCTACGCATGCGTGGACCGTGCCGTCGATTTACGGACAATTCGGCGTATTCGTACTAATTTCGACGAATTCTTGAAATCGGGACACACCCATTATGTAGTCGATCTCCTACTCGAAAGGAGGAGCTCGCGAACCTCAGGCGGCTGGCCGCCAGCGGGGGCAACGGCACTACAGACGGCGGCCAGGCCGGCGGCCAGTCGCTGCACTGGGAGCCCAGGGGCCCCGCGGTACACGGCCCCGGGGCCGCCGCCTGGAACAGGCTGCACCCGAGCCACCAGGCGCAGCTCCTCAGGAGACAGCACGAGGAGGCCATGAGGCCGAGGCTGCCGCGGCCGCGGCTCGACACTGCTCGCTGGGAGCAGCACCGGAGCCCGGAACGCGACCGCTACCCGGCGCCCGGCTCGGGCGACTCCTGGGGCGGCCCCGAGATGCAGCTGCCGCCGCCAGTGGCGCCAGTCGTGATCGAGGCATCCCCGCCGGTGGCGCTGCTGCCGCCTCCCCTCGCGGGCCCTGAGCCCGCCGCGCGTGCCGGCCCCCGCGCGACGGGGGCGCCGGGGCGCGCCCGACTTTTCGGCGGGGCGTTCCTGTGAGCAGAGGAGACGGAGATCCCTCCCCCCGCCAGCCTTGTCCCGGGGTGGCGTCCAGGTGCGGGGGGGCCAGGGACAGCGGGGTAGCCAGGGCACCCAGGGAGGGTGCGGGGAAGACCCGGAGGAAGAATTCAAAGAATTCAAGCAGTGGCGAAGCGTCCTGGCGTGCCGATAGGCCTACCAAAGAATGTTCTAAGAACCCTGTGTGGTTTCCACGACATGTTCTTAGAACATTTCTGGCTGGGACTGTCTTGTTTGAACGCATCGGGTTCATGTAGGCCTATAAAAATGCCTGAACGGTCGGTCCCTGCTCAAATAATGACCCACACAGGGAGGGGAGGGGATGAGATGGGAGGAGTGGGGAGGAGGGGAGAAGGAGGGCAGAAAGGGAATGGCAAACTACTGACATCCTACCCTTCCCGCCAATCCCTTTCCATTGTGTTGATTTTTGTTCTACCCACCGGCTGGGGTGTCCTAGATGATCTTGATGAGGAGGGAGCACCAGCAGCAGGAGGAGTTGGAGGAGCAGGAGGACCTGGGGAAGGCGAAGGTGGCGAAAGGATGGGATTGAGTGGAGAGGAGTGGACGCCATCGCGAGTTTGATCCTCGCGAAGCAACCGAACTCGTAGCACGCTCTCGAACGCCAGGCCTGCGCCAGCCTGCCTCAGGATCCTGGGACATGAGGCCCGTATAGTCCTGCGAGATACCCCTCGCCATGTGCCGAAACTTGCCCGCTGTACAAACCCGGGCCCTCCCGCTCAGAAAAGGAAGCCATGCGCCACGTAGACATACTTGACGACCCGACCTGCACCTTTGACGTTCACCGTTATTTCAGGTTCTCGACCAAAGGCGACACATGCCTGAAGTCCAACACGGTTGGCCCAAATACATCGAGAGACGAGCAATGACGAGTCAACGCCGATTAATCTGAAGAGTGGTTGCATGAACGCGGGGATGAGAGAACAAACAAATCGCCCCCACCCCCCACTATGTGTGACGAGAAAATTGACAAGCAAGTTAAATGGTACAGCACAGTTTGGAACACAACTGTACTTATATGAGCCATTTTCACCACGCACGGAGATGTACCATGGAAAATGCAGGCTGGCCCGAGTATACGAGTAAGTTCTCCTGCCACTGCTGGCGACCAGCGGCAGGGCGAACGGTTGGCCGGGATCCACCTGAGCCTCGTTGCTGAGCCATAGTCCACCCACCAAAGGCGTTAAGTAGCTTCACGACAGCCGCTCGCGTCAGGCCACACGGGGAATTTGAAATCCGGCGCCTGCACAATGACCCGTGTACGTGGTGCACCTCCACAAATGCCACACCGAACAGCTTGAAATCCATGACTGTGAACACAGAGCGAAGGCCAAACACATTAAATTGACTACAACAGAGCAAATGGCATTCGCACCCAACTGCAGCTTCAGAATTGAAGTGCGCCCAGACACGGAGGGTGTGGTTGCACACAGCCTGCCGGAACCTCCACGTGCTTGGGACGAACGCCGCCCACGAAGTGCGGGAAGGAAACGGTCCAAGCAAATGACCACACATGGTCCCACACATGGTCCATTGCAGCCCCAAAGTTGAAGTACGCCCAGGTCTGGAGCGTAAGTTGGGCACAGCCCGCCAGAGCCTCCACCTGGGACGGTCGCCGCCCTCGGAGTGCAGGAAGGAGCCAAGGCCCAGCCAGCACTAGCTGCTGAGGAACATCAGCCTGACCCGCACCTGCTACGAGCCGTTCATCGCAATCTTGGTCGACTGGAGTAGGATGCCAAATCCGCCAATTCCAGTAGTTGCAAGCGCGCCGCGGCCAGTCGTTGGGGCGTGACGGCGAGGCAATCCAAGACAACGACGAGGAAGGAATCAGATCCAGAAATGCGGCCCGTGCTTTCGGGATACCGCCATTCAGAACGAACGCTGTACCTGGAGCATCGTCAAAGAGGACAGTATGACTCATATTGAATGTTATCCAGCTTGGACCCCCAACAGTGGTTTCTGGCGTACGAGGTGATGCAATCTACGTGGTGCAAGCTAGGTGGTGCAATAAATGGTGTAGATTATGTGGTGCAAGCTATGTGGTGCGCAGCTACGTAGTGCAATGTACGTGGTGCAATATATGTGGTGCGATCTTTGGGATGTGAGCTATGTCGTGCAATCTACGTGGTGCAACCCATGAAGGGGGGATCTTTGGGATGTGAATCATGTCGTGCAATCTATGTGATGCAATCCAGGTGGCGCGATCTAGTCATGTGGGATGTTCTCGTTTGTTGCCGTCAGAAAGGTTTTGTTGTGGAGTGCTCCTGGGTTGTCCAGCCGTTGCCGGGGGGCATGGGGGGCATGGTTATGTTAAGATCGATTGCCGTCCGACGGTCCCGCGCGCCGAGGCATTCTGGAAACCGTCGGTTTAGCAGGCTCGTCTCGCTTGGGACATCTTTCCAAGTATGGATTCCGAGATGACCAGATTTGAGATGGTCTGGCCCGTCTCGCTTGAGACATCCTCGCAACTCTGGGCGCCCAGATGTCCTTCGAGAGGTGATCCAGCCCATTTCGCCTGAAACATCCTGGAAGTTTTGGGTTCGGAGATGCCGTGACCTGAGGTGGCCCCGCCCGTTTCGCTTGACACATTCTCGCAATTCTGGGCTTGAAGATGCCGCCCTCGAGGTGGTCTGCCAGATTCGCCTGAGACATCCTCGCAACTCTGGGGACAAAGATGCCGCGTGCGAGGTGGTCCAGCCAGTTTTGCATGAGACGTCCTCACAAGTCAGAGCAACTGCTGAGGAGGAGTGCGAAGAGAAAGAGGAGGAGGAGGAGGAGGAGGGAGAATGAGGGGGAGAAGGAGGAGCGCAGGATACTTAGGAGGAGGAAGAAGATGAGGAGGAAGAAAAAGGAGACACATGCTCGCATCCTACTAAGAGAAGTGCTTGTGTTGTCCATGCTTTCGGGACACTCCTCGTCGCCAGGGCTGGACGCGGCTCGATCGTGCCTTGTGATACGGACCGGTGCTCTGCCGACCCAGGGTGTTTCGTTGGCCTGTTCGCACCCAGATTGCGGGGATGTCTCGAACGGCCCGCATGTTTTAGGAGGTGGGCGTGTGTGTTATCAGAGCTGCATGGTGCATGGTCCTCGCTTTCCACTTTTGTTTGCTTCGGGGCTGTTCTGGACCCCTCCAGCGCTTTCCTTGGCTGGCGGGAGGAGGGGGGGCAGGGCACCTACACCTGGATGCCTGGGTCGCTGGGGGCAGCCCCAGCGACCCTGGCAACCCCAACCGCGATGCCTCGGAGGTGCCGGGGAAGGGTTGCCTTCAACAGAGCTCGGTGCGCCCCATGGCCGACAGAGGCTCTGGCCCGTTTCACTTCAGACATCCTCGGACACCCGGGCTCCGAGATGCCTTGACTTGAGATGTTCTTGCCTGTTTCGCTTGAGACATCCTCACAACTCTGGTTTCCAAGCTCACACCACATTGTGGTGTGAGCTATATGGTGTAATCTATGTGGTGCAAGCTAAGTGGAGCCAACGTTCTCACCGAGGTGATGTAAGCAATGTGGTGTAAGCTATGTGGTGCAGTCTACGTGTTCCGATCTATGGGGTGTGAGCCGTGTAGTGCTCTGTATATGCATTATAGAATGGATGTGGTGAAGTCAATGTGGTGCGATCTATGAGGTGCGATTGCAGGGCAATGCAATTCGATTGCAGTGCAATTCAGTGCGATTTCAAGGGACTGCGGCGACGAGGCGGCGGCGACGGGCAGCGACGAGGCGGCGACAGGGCGACTTCTCGCCTGCCAGGGCGGCCCGTGAGCCCGCGACGAGGCGGCGACGGGCGGTGACGCGCGGCGACGGGGCGGCGACGTGCGCGAACAAGGCGGCCAGGGCGGCACACGAGCCCAGTTGTTTGGGAAACAAGTAACAGGCCCTAAATGCAAGCACCGTTGGGGGGTAATGGTTGAGGGAGGGGGGGCGGGGTGAGAGAAAGTGGGGGGGCGGGAAGGCAAGGGCGAGAGGGGAAGGGAAAGCTAGGCGCGCTCGCGCCACATATAGCATCCTACCATTCGAATTGCGGTTCATCCCTTTCTGTTAGCCGCGTCGGGTGTCGAATCGAGTCTTGGTCCTAAGAAAGCATACGCAGTGTAGAACCCTTTTGTTCGTCTACTGTACAGAATGCGAGGGAGCCAGACATGTCCATGAATCGCGCAGGAAGGTCGTGCGAAGTCTTATTGTGCGCGCGCGCAATCGACAAGCCCAATTTGCGAACCAGGAAATTGATGCCGACGTCTCGAATCACCTGCGATGCAGAGCAGGACGAGCGGGGGGAGATGGGAGGGGGGTGGAGTGGGAGGTGGAAGTGGAGAGAACGATCTGCGAGTGGAGGGGCAGGGGGGAGAGGAGGAGGGAGGCGCTCCTACTTAGTCCTCGGGCTGGAGCTGCACTGTCGAGGCAAGGGCGTTGCTGCCCCAGAAGATATGAGAAGGAGAATGATGAGCAAGGGGGGGGAGAGGTGGAGATGAGAGGGAGGGGAGCAGGACTTGGAGGGACGGGGGGATGAGGAGGGAAAGGATACGGAGGAGGAGGAGGAGGAGGAGGGTAAGGAAGAAACAGGAGGGAAGAGAGTGAGATGGATGAGGAACTTGACGAACAACAATAAAGACGAATGGTCATGCTAATGTTAGCCAGCGTGGACCCCGCACAGTGCGATATGGTGCGATCTGCGTGGTGCGATCAACGTCGTGCAACCTAAGTTGTGCAATCTTTGTGGAGCAATCTATGTGGTGCAATTCACTTGTGAACTCGCAGTTATCTGCTGCACTGCTCGCACAATCATCCCACCCACCCACCCGCAACTTGGTTTGCAAAGCACATGCGGCGGCGACTGCGATGGGTGCTTGGTGTTGGCTGGTGCATCTCTGCGGCCGCGCCAGCCCGCGCATCTCGCGCGCACGAGCGGGAGCGGCCCGACATGCGCCCCGTGCGAGCTTGCACGAGCGAAAGCACGCACGGAACGGCTCGACAAACGCTCCGTGCGAGCCTGCACGAGCTTCGCGACACGAGTTGCTTTTCTTTGAGGGATCGTGGCGAAGCCAGCTGGCGGGAGCCGGTTGAAACCGCTGCGTGGCTCGCAGACACGAACACGTAGTGTGGAACCTTGGCCTCGAAAAACAAATTCTGGGCGCGACCCCGTCGGAGGGGATCTTTGTGTCACCCCAGAGGGGCTCCGTCCCCCCTCGAGGTGCCACGACAGGGGGTCCGTCACAGCCTGACACGAGACCGTCTTCCGAGTCGGGGTCTTCTTGCGAGAGATTGGTGGAGGGAACGAGGTGGAGCGAAGGGGGGGGAGCAGAAGAAAGGGGAGGATGTGCGCTGGAGAATAGCATGTAAATCGCGTTGGGTGGGCATGTGGATGAGAGAAGGGAGCGATGTGGAGGAGGAGGCGGAGGAACACCATAGTACACTCAGCACTTGCCAACGATGCTAGAATTCACCCTTTCGTCCCAAGTCCCCTCCCCATAGCGATGCACCCCCTATGGAAGACGATCGCCCCATGAGCTTGCAACTCAGGAGGGAGCTTCGTCTTGAACATGAAGTGGCACCAATCCTTCGAGCGATAAGGAGTGCGACACGGTGGGCCATCCAGGCAAAGGGGATATCCTCCGGCAGCACCATTTGGCACATGCACCGCCCTATATCAGTGTAGGGGTTGCGTGATTGTATATTCATAGACGTACAATCTCGGTCTCAAGCGATAGCCACATGTTGAAGTCAAATCGCCCCTACCGTGAAATTGCAACTGAACACTACTGCGGGAGTTCCACGCTTGAAATGCACCGCCCTCCATCTGTGTAATGGCTGGAATGTTTCAGGTCGAGTGCCCACGGCGCCCAGGCAAGAACTGAGAACGATTCGCCCTCCACCCGTGTGGTTGTATTGTTGGCGACTGTGCGCGGCGCCAAGGCGAGAGCGTCATTGAAACAACACTTCGCCATCCATCATCCATCCGTGCCAAGCCGAGAGCCCCAGTTCAACAACGTTTCGCCTTTCACCCGTGTAGCTGTTGGAAACGTGATGCTTCAGCGCCTGGCCCACCCTAACGGCACGCATTGTGGTGCGACAGGGGGCTTCGAATTAAACGGACGAAGGGTGGATGGTGAGGAGGAGCGAGAGGTCAGGAGCGACGATGAATGACTGAGAGCAGCATGATGTGGGGAAGTAGTATAGGGCGCAGGGGACTCAGGCGGAGCGAGGAGCGTGGAGCGAGGGAAAAAGGGGAATGAGAAGAGGGCTTCGAGAGGGATGAGGAAGTCGAGGGGGGAAGGGATGCGGGGGAGGAGGATGCGGAGGAGGATGAGAAGGGTAAGGAGGGGCGATGAGGATCATGATGAGGAAGCCAGGCCGCGAACGAGATCGGCTTCGATTGCGCAGGCTGCGCGCGCGCGGCTGCGCCTTCCCTCGTCCTCTCGGGAAGTTCTCGCCCCCTTCCTCCAGGAGGGATGAGAAGGAGTAGGACGAATCATGGACCTCTTCATTTATCCACGCACACGTCTTCTTGCCACTGAAGGGAGCGCCCACTGGAAACGTGGGGGCCCCATGGACTTGCGGTGCGACCCCTAGGGTTTTGTCACGAGCATCAGCGATCGTATAACAACCGAGCGGCTTTGAATGATTATTTGGCGTACGCCGCACCGCAGAAACCATACGTATGTGTAGGCCACTGGAGGCTTACAGGGGCGAGGGAAACCATCGTGGAGGGTCTTGGTAAAAGGGTTTGCTTGGAGCTGTGTGTGTGCGTTTGGAAACGCCATTATGTCCCTGTTAAACTTCTCAGGATCTCCTGGGATACCTTCTTGGTGCCTGGTGGAGGCCTCTTGCGGGCCTCTTTGAGGATCTCTTGGGGCCCCCCTGGGGGCGCCTTGAAGACCTCGTAGAAGCCTCGTGGGAGTCGTTTGGGACCTCTTTGGGCTATCTTGGGTGACATGGTGCCACGGTCTATTTCGAAGCGATTCCGGCCTTTTGAGACCCCTTTTGGCCATCTTGGAGTCGTTTGGGGCCGTCGTGGAGGCCGCTTGAGCACCTCCAGGGTCGTTGTTCCTGGGGGTCGGCGCCAGGGTCGCTTCCATTACTCAGGGTGCGGAGGCGTCGTATGCAAGACTAAGTTGAGCCTCTTGTGCCTCTCAGTCCGCTCTGAAGCTCTCTTGGGGACCTCACGGGCTGTCTTCGTCGCATCGAAGCTCAAGCGCGGGAAATTTCAAACACCACTGAGCAAATTCAGGGCCATCCGCGTTTTTGGACCTTGGGGTCCCTCTTGGGGGGTTATCTTGGGGCCCTGTGCAGGCACTCGAGGGGCTTTTTGGTTGTTTCTTGGGCCTGGACCGTGTGGGAGCCCTGGGAGCGCTTCTGGAACTGATGAGTCAGGGGCCGACGTTTGCGGCCACCACACATGTGACGCAGGACCACATGGACCAGTATTTCAAGAAGGGCTCCAGGCATCATCCTGTTGTGTACCGCGCGTGCCGTTTTGCGCGTGCGGAGGCGAAGGCGTTTGAGGAAACGCCGTTGAGATGCTCTACTTGTCCGAAGCTAGCGGGTGGAAAAGGGGCTGATCGGCGTTCACGGCGGCACGCATCTGACGAAGAGCCAGGCGGAGCATTATTTCAAGAAACGCTCAGGGCATTGCTCTGCAGGGTGTCGTGCGCGCCATGGTGCGCGCGAGGAGACCGGGACGTTCGAGTCTTCTGCGTGCCTTCTGGAATCAGGCGGAATTAAGGCCACGCTCATTGATTGAGGACATCTGCCGAACGACAAACGCATCTTTTATGGCGGGGCAGCCTTGCAGTATGCTCTGGGTGCCAGAAAGCGGCGGAGGCATCTCGAAAGGATAATTCGGAGCGACTCGCATAAATTAGCGCTGCGCTTACAGTGACAAGAGCAGAAGTTGACGGGAGTCTGACCGTCGCGTCGCCAGACCGTATTTGAATGTGTCGCCAGCAGTGTGCCGAATTGCGGGCTTTTTAGTTAGTCTCGGGAGTCAAGAATTTATGCCTCCCGAAATAGCAGACGTTGCGGCGAACGGAGGTGAACAGCCTTGGAAGGAAGGCCATGCGGGAGAACGGGCATGCAGTGGATGAAGCAGGGCGGCGGGGGGCCTTCAAACGCAAAGCACACATACATCTTGCTGTATGTGATCGTTTTTTTATTCATTCTCTTGCCGATCGGCGCGGACCCTCGCACCCCCCCTTCCCCTCCCATGGAGTAGATCTTGGCTGTTTTGGGCGCCTGTTTCCAGCAGGCGGGCTCTCCCCTCATAGGACGCACTGTCGCAAACTGTCGCACTAAGCAGAGGCCCAGAGCCAGACCCCCCCTCCCGCCCCCCTTCGCTCAATGTCGAAACGCCGAATAAGAAAACGTTCAACATGTATGTATGTATGTATGTATGTATGTATGTATGTATGTATGTATGTATGTATGTATGTATGTATGTATGCTTATATATAGATAAGTATATGTCTGCATCTATACATGGACATGTACGCATGTAGGCTGGTATGCAGGTCGGCACTTAGGTTGGCAACATGCATGCATGAGTGCTTGCATGTATGTGTGTATGTATGTGTATTTATGTACGTAGGCATGGATGTTTGTATGCATACATGAATGTATGCATGTATGCATGTATGCATGGTTGCATGGTTGCATGGTTGCATGGTTGCATGTATGCATGTATGCATGTATGCATGTATGCATGTATGCATGTATGCATGTATGCATGTATGCATGTATGCATGTATGCATGTATGCATGTATGTATGTATGTATGTATGTATGTATGTATGTATGTATGTATGTGTGTGTATAAATATATACCGGGCTACAGGGCCGGGGGCTCCCTGGCCGGGACCGCAACCCCCCATGGGAAGATCGGGCCTCCGGGAGCGCCCTTGTCCGGCCCAAGAGGCGCCGAAGACGGTCCAAGCGTGCCTCGAGACGCTTACGATCGATCCAAGACGCCCAAGATGGCTCCCAGACGGCCCAAGAGGGCGCCAAGAGGGCCCAAGAGGGCGCCAAGAGGGCCCCAATATAAGCCCAAGACGGCCAAAGAGGCTCCCAAGACGCTCCAAGAGGCCTCCAAGAGGCCCCCCCAGAGAACCCCAAGAGGCCAAAGTCGCTTATTTTACGAAGGTTTTGGATACATGTTGCCTTTCCCGCCTTCTCAGCTTTCCGACGCTCCGCGACGGCTCACAGGCCTCCCGCAGACGCCCCAAGACAGCCCAAGAGGCCTCCAAGAGGGCCTCAAGACGGCTCTGGAGGGCCCCAAGACGGCCCAAGACGCGCCCAAGACCGGCGAAGAGAGGCCCAAGACGGCCCCAAGAGGGCTCCAAGAGAGGAACCGCGAATTGGAAATTCGAGCCTCCCGCCTCTACAGGGCCCCGGGAGGCCCCAACGGGGCGCCAAGAGGCCCCAGGAGACCCCCAAGATAAACCCAAGACGGCCAAAGAGGCCCCCAAGACGCTCCAAGAGGTCTCCAAGAGGCCCCCCCAGAGGGCCCCAAGAGGCCAAAATCGTTAATTTTACGCAGGTTTTGGACACATTTTGCCTTTCCCGCCTTTTCAGCTCTCCGACGCTCCACGACGGCTCACAGGCCTCCCGCAGACGCCCCAAGACAGCCCAAGAGGCCTCCAAGAGGGCCTCGAGACAGCTCTGGAGGGCGCCAAGACGGCCCAAGACGCGCCCAAGACCGGCGAAGAGAGGTCCAAGACGGCCCAAGAGGGCCCCAAGAGGGGAACCGCGAACCGGAAATTCGAGCCGGGCCCCAAGAGGCCCCAGGAGACCCCCAAAATAACCCCAAGACGGCCAAAGAGGCCCCGAAGACGCTCCAAGAGGCCGCCCCCCCAGAGGGCCCCAAGAGGCCAAATCGTTAATTTTACGAAGGTTTTGGATACATTTTGCCTTTCCCGCCTTTTCAGCTTTCCGACGCTCCGCGACGGCTCACAGGTCTCCCGCAGACGCCCCAAGACAGCCCAAGAGGCTTCCAAGAGGGCCTCGAGACGGCTCTGGAGGGCCCCAAGACGGCCCAAGACGCGCCCAAGACGGGCGAAGAGAGGCCCAAGACTGGCCAAGAGGGCTCCAAGAGAGGAACCGCGAATTGGAAATTCGAGCCTCCCGCCTCCACAGGGCCCCGGGAGGCCCCAAAGGGGCCACAAGAGGTCCCAGGAGACCCCCCAGAGGCACCCAGGAGGCCCGAACGAGGCTCCACGAGGCTCCCAAACAGCCCCGAGGAACCTTACAACGGACGGTGCGGACGAGCCGATTTTCGGACCGCCGCCGCCGCCGGTCCAAGAAAACTGCCTCCTGGACGCCATGCGCGCCGTGGCCCTCCTGCGGTGGCACATCCCGCCCCGGGCCAGCGCAGAGGCCCTCGGATCCCAGAGAGAATTCTCCGTCGTCGGCGGTGTCGCCGTCGTCGGCGTCGTCGTCGTCGCCGTCCCCGCCCCGGTCGCCCCTCGGGACCGCGCTGGCCCCTTCGACTTCTCGGCTCGCCTCCCGCCGATGTTCTTGTCGCCCTTCGACATTCGGAGGCTCCTCCGGGGGTCCTGGGTCCAGTGCTCCGGCCTCTCCAGAGCGCTTCAAGTGGCCGAAATCGGTAATTTTTCAAAGGTCTTGAAGAGATTTAGCCTTTTCGGCTGTCCGACGTTCCAAGACGGCCCAATAGGCCCCCAAGAGCGCCCAAAGACGGCCCAAGAGGGCCCCCAGACGAGGCGCCCAAGACAGCCCAAGAGAGCCCCAAGACGGCCCCAAGATGCGCCCAAGAGGGGACCACGAAACCAAAATTCGACCCTCCCGTTGAAGAGTGCCCCAAGAGGCCCCAAGGAGCCCCCAAGAGGCCCCAGGAGGCCCCCGAGAGGCACCCAGGAGGCCCAAACGAGGCTTCTAAAGGCCACAAAACAGCCCCGAGGAGGCCCCACTACGGCCCCAAAGCGGTCACCGAGAAGATGCGAAATTGCGTTCACGACGTTCCCGACAGGCCAACCACGAGATCCAAACCAACACCCATGAGGCCTCTGACCCACCACCTAGGGCACCCGCCGCCCGTTCGCCGTCCGCGTAGCACGCACCACTCTGTACTCAACAGCTTCAGTCTCCAAGACAACACCCTGTAGTCAACAGCCCCCGTCTTCAAGGCAACACCCTGTGCTCAACAAGCTCCCGCTGCAAGAGAGCACCCTTAAGGAATTCATTCAAATCCCGACCCGCCTCCCCGCCCGCCACCCGCCCGCCCGCCGCCCGCCTGGCCGCTCGCCCGCCTTCCGCGTAGCACGCGCCACCCTGCACTCAACAGCCTCCGCCTCCAAGACAACACCTAGCATTCAACAGCCCCCAGCGCTCCCGGGACTGCCCAGGTCCGCTCCCAAACGCGCCACGACACG